CTTCAAATCCCATCAATCTCACCAAAAATTTTTTTTTTTGTTTTTTTCCTCCTCAGAACTTCAAAGTTTTTTGAAATAAAAATAGACACATTTTTCCATGTTTATTAAGGGAACAAAAAACAAGGAATGGTGGAACATGCATAAAAATGAAGGGAAAATGGGATGGAATGGTTTGGGGAATGGAGAGTACCATCCCCTGAGGTGCTCTTGTGCTGCTGACTATTTGATTAGACAGTTGACCCTTCAGTCTAAAGGGCAATAAAAGTCAATTTATACTTCTGACGCATAGCCTCTGCAACAGTCATATCTGTCTCTGTGCACGACCACGCCCCCTGTGCAGAGGTTCTGCAACCATCATAGTGCACCTAAAAAAAATCCTACACGTCGGACGGTCACAAACCCGCGCAGACCTCGATCTGAAGTGTGCAGACAGAAACCAAGGATTGGTCCTTGGTATGCCTTTCCGGCTGTGTGTGGTCGTCCTTCTCGTTTCGGGGCCAGGGCATGCCATTTTTAAAAACCATGGAGTAATAACAACAATGGATAACCACGATGATAGGTTGATCGAGGAGGTTTGGAAGTACAACCACTTGTACGATGCCTCAGATACGTTGCTTTGGAAAATAAACACTCCCGCCGAAGAAATTCTTGCGAGTTCTCAAATAGGCTCCCCCTAGCGCTTTGGCAGGAAACTACTGTGCGCCCCCAGAAATTCCAGACCGACGTTGCAGAAATATACCAGCAAAACTGGTTCGCGACCAGATGCAAGCAACATTTGATGTGTGCGGTTGCAGAAGTATAAAGAGTGAATTATGCTTTTACACCTGCTGCCGAATTTCAGCAAGCCTGCACTGATGCAGACTCGCTATTTAAGGGTTGTATGGTCCCCTCTCCCTACCCTTCCCTTTTGGATGGCACTTAATTTGGCGGACCCTCCAAGGGAGTGTTTAGGGGCCAGTTTGGGATTCAGCCTCCATGGTTGGTTCTAGGCTTGACCTACAGTAGAAGACCTGAGTGGTCTGGGAGGTTGATACACTTACAACAGATCTTTATGTGTTGAGGTGCTGAACCATTCAATGACTTATAGACTAACAGATAATTTTAAACTCTATTCTCTGATCCATTCAGTAATTTATAGATCAAATTTTTAGACTTTTAAAGTCTATTCTTTGAGCTACAGGGAGCCAAAGTAAGGACTTTAGAACCGGGTTGATGTGCTCTCGTTTCTTATTTCTAGTGAGAATACTGGCAGCAGAGTTTTTGATCAACTGCAGCTGTCTGATGGACATTTTATGCAACCCTATGAAGACACTGTTGCAGTAATAAATTCTATTAAGGA